TTTAAATTATTCATGTTGATCAGATATTAATAAGTAATTATATGTTTGAATTACATTTATTTTACAAAAAAATGAATGACTATTTTTGAAATTATATTTGTCGTCTATTTTGTAAAAATAATTATGATTCAAACATGTAACTATTGATGTCTAATTATTTTAATTTTTCATATGTATATCGAAATTGGTCTCAAAATAAGTTTACTAAATCTAAATGTTCTCTCAAGCTGAGATGACGATTTGAAAGAAATCAAACCCTTTGTAAATATATAGGAGAGAATAATGTAGCAATTGTAACTTTATCACTTCAAAGAAAAAAAACTTATCAAATTTTCAAAAATAACACGGTTATATCATTTTAATAAAAAAAAATTGTAAAAAGTCTCATTTCTTTTTACTTAGGAAAGAAGACTAGATCACGTGGACTCTTTTGGACCCACCATATAAGTTTCATTTTTTAAGATATGCCCATTCATTTTAGTCCCAAAGCCTAGATTATTTATGGAAAAATTTTAATATGATTTGATGATCATAATTATATAGTTATATCACATTTGTAGTTATTGTTGTCTTTTTTTTTTTTTTTTAAGAGATGACAATTATAATTGTAAAAATAAATTTTTGATCATTTTTTTTAAGACAAATGTAATAAAATTGTAAGGCAATAATTATCAAATAATTTTTGTATTTATTTATTCATTTTTATAATGATCTACACATAGAAGTCTAAAAATAAATGGATTGAGTCGTCAAAGTGCACCACGTGGTGGCCTACCAGAATCCAATAAAATTGTCCAATACTGAGAGAAGTTGGATCTTATCATAGGATTGGTTAATAAAATATTAAGGCTATGTTTGGCATGCGCTATTTTGACTATTTTAGTAACAAAAAAGATAAAATAGGATAAAAAATTAATAAGACAATGTTACATCCAAACCATAATCATTTCATTTTTTCTCTCACAAAAGTCAAAAAAGTAAAAAATCCTATCACAAACGAGACTTTTTGGCTTTAGGCTAAAATAGTCAAAAATTAAAAAAATCAACCCACGTCCCAAATGAAAACTAAATAGGTGTACAATGTTTAAAAAAAGTATCTTCATAAAAAAAATATACAATCATTATAAATTTGTATACCAAAGTCTATTAATCTATTTATTCTAAGAATAATGTTATGAATATCAAATTTTTGTACTAAATTTGTTTATCATCTAATGTGATACTACTGGATATACAATATTTGGAATATGGATCCGTTGCACCAATGCAATGATATCACATTATTTGATAAAAAAATTTACTACAGTGATTACAAACTAAGGTTTTTTAACAGAATAATACCGAACTAAACCAAACCAAACCAAACCAAACCATACTAAACTAAACCTTGAATCCCATCAAATGGGGTCAGGTACATAAATCATTCTTTTCCACGCGACCCTATCAAAGGCCATTTCGTTAGTCAAATTAAGTAGATCCATATCTCTATTTACAATGTTAGTCAACGTTAATCTAGGCCTACCCCGTCCCCTAACACTCCCCCTCTACCGTTACAGCATTGCATCTCTTCATTACTGCCTCTGTTGGTCTCCGTTGAATGTGACCAAACCATCTCAATCGATTTTCTCTCAACTTATCTTCTATCGGTACTACTCTTACCCATTTCCGAATACACTCATTCCTAATTCTGTCTTGTCTAGTCTTGCCACGCATCCACCTTAGCATACTCATCTCCGCCACACTCATCTTATCTACATGTTGTTTCTTGGTTGTCCAACACTCCGTCCCATACAACATCGCTGGTCTAATAGTCATTCTATAGAACTTACTTTTTAGTCTAGTGGGTATTCATTTATCGCACAGTACCTCAGACACACTTCTCCACTTACACCATCTCGCCTTAATCCTATGGGCCACATCCGCATCAATCTCCTCTGCTGTTGAGATAATCGGCCCTAAATAACGAAAATGTTCACTCAGAGGCAGTTCTTAGTTCTCAATCTTCACTTCTCCTCTGTTTTCATTGTTACTGTTACTAAATTTACACTCCATACAATTCATTCATTTAAAGCCATATTGTCTATCACTGTGATTATAATTTACAAATATATTCGTATTACGTCATTTTGAAACTGAATTTTATAATGATTTTTAATACAAATTTTTGAAAGATACAATTTCGGAAATTTTTTTTTTTTGTTGCTATTTGTGTGTTTTTTTAAACTGAAAATTTTGATCCATCTGTTAATTTCTAATATATATATATATATATTTTATTTTATGTTGTTGGCCTTTTCGTGACACCAAGGATCCTCTACAGTGAAATTTTCTTAAAGTTTCCTAGAGTACTACATTGTGTGGTTGAGATTTACTGGTAAGTCACATCAGAAAAATTGATGTGACTTGACAGTAAATCTCAACCACACAATGTAACATTCTAGGAAACTTTAAGAAAAAATCACTCTAGAGGATCCTTGCTCTTTTCGTGAGGGATTATATGGCTAAGCCAAGCGGGTTGAAAATGGAGCCATGCAAACGCGGCTTAACGCGAAGTCTAGGAAAAAGTAGAGGGGGGTACGTGGCATGAATATGTCGATTGACAGCTAATATGAATCCAGAAATTAAAGAGAATCACCCCGCCGGAAAATGATGTATCGCTTGTGAATTATAGAGAGAGAGAGAATATAAATCTATTTGAGAGAGAGAGATTTGAAATGGTCAAAATTAAACATTGGACATTTTGTATAAAAAATTTATAGACTTAAATTTGTAAATTTGAGGGCAAATTTTGAAAAGATTGTTTTATATAAAATTCAATATTAAGTTAATTAAAGGTATAAAAGGGTTGTTTTGTTTAATATTTTGTAAGGTAAAAATTGATAATAAATAATTATAAGTTAATACCACCTCTTCACTTATGTCTCAATAATTGTTTCTTTAAAATTTATTTAAGTCATTTGTCTCTCATAAAATAAAAATTGCACTAAACAGTCAAAAACATATATAAAAAAAAAAAGAAAAGGAAAAAAAAAAGTTACAATAAGTGATTTGGTATTGTTGAACAATCTTCACTGTATTTAAAAGATTTAATTCTATTGTGTACACAACAACAAATAGAATTTAAAGAAATAAAGAAAAGGAGAGAATTTGTTTGATTACAAAAATCAAACTCGAAATAAAAATAAATAAATAAAAACAGATTTTATTTTGTTACAAAAACAAAATTAAAATCTGATTAAATAAACAAAAAAAAAACAGAATAAAAATTAAACAACTTACTTGGTTAATTTCTTTTGAATAACTATCTGATCAAGTCCAGTGTTTAACACTGTGTCCTTAAGACAGATTCATCCTCTCCACGGTGCTTTCAGAATCTGGGCATCTATCTCTCAAGATAAAATGATCTATCAACGAATAAAAGCAGCACTACAATTTATTCGTTCGTCGAACACACTAAGTGTTTATACTCTCTGTAACCAGAACTAAATGCAAAATGAAGAATAAATTTATAGCAGAAGATGGAGTACGAAAATTGGAGTTTTTTTTCCAAATAGGGGAACTTAGTCTATTTATAGATGGATTGGTGGCTTTCCATTTTGAATTAAACAGGTACTGTACCTATTCAATTTGAATTAAACAGATACAAACTGTTTGGTTTGAAATTCAAACAGATTGTGAGCTGTTGGGTTCAAAAAACGAAAGGGCCCTGTCTGGATGTACAGAAAAAACCGAACCAGATTATTTCCGGTTAATTTGGTTTTGAATTGAACAGGTATGAAACCTGTTATATTCAAATTTAAACAGATTTGAATCTGTTTATTCAAACAGATAGAAACGGGAAGGGCCCTGTTTGGATGAACAAAAAATCCAAACCAGTTTAATTTGAATTCTGGATTTTATTTTAATAAAAAATAAAATTAAATTCAAATGTTTTTGGCCCAAAAAAATTAGAAGCCCAACCCAACCACACACCACGCACTCGCGCCCAGGCCTAGCCCAACCTGCCTGATCAGATGGCGGCGATTTTTGGGTCCAATGGGTCTAGCCCATTTTGCCCATAACCTCTCCCTCTAAAACACTTGGGTACCCCTTGGGGCACACCCCAAGTATCTCACCCTAAGCCTTATAAACCCTTTCAAAACTTCCCACCAAATCAATGTGGGACAAGCCAATTTACCACCTTAAGGAATTTCCACCAAAACTCCATTTTCATGGTGCACACTTTGGCTTCAATTTCCCATTCACTCGGTAATGGTTTTGAGCAACCAAATATACCACGTGAATCACAACGCGGCATAGAACGCGTTACCACTTTGACCCGAGTAAATCGACATTCGGGGCCCACCTAAAAAATAGACCGAACTAAGGAAAAAATTCTGGTTTTATTCAGAATTTTATAACCATTTTTCCAACAATTTGGTGGTCTTGAGACATGATTAGGTAGTGCTTTAAAAGTATTGTGATTGGTGAAGAAAGTAGAATTCGCAATTTAGTGTTAGGCAATGAGAAACAGTAAATAGCATAAGATTTGATGATTGGTAAAAATATTGTCACGTGACACCCAAGACCACTTAATAATTTTCCTAGAAATGGCCACCACCTCCATAAAACTACATAAAATTTAGCCAAAAATATTTTTTGAAAATACCACTTCATGTAAGTCGTGTAATAACATTAGCTTAAAAAAGTAGAACAATGTCAGCTATTTCAAATTTATAGTATATATTTTGACATTTATATCGTAGCGTCAGATTGTGTTTGATTCATAATTCTCACATAAATTCATGAATAAAAAACAGCATAAATGAATTATTACTAGTGCTTGAGAATTTTGTTTTAAAAATAGTAACTCGTTACCATCTTGAGAGATCAAGAGAGGGATTTTTTTATTTTATTTTATTTTATTTTTATTTTTATTTTAAATCCAAAGAGAGAGAGAGAGATTGAGGTTTCACATTTTTGTTCAAAAGAGAAGGGACACGTCCTATGAGGACGGTACCGAATCCCTTTGACTTCCACCATTGTTTTCTTACCCTTCTCTCTTGTATATATACACACCATCAACATGCACTTCTCTTACGGAACTACTATATCTTCTTTCTCTCTCTCTCATCAAAGAAATTTTTAGCAAAGGATCAGTGTTAATTGGTAACAAACACCATGGGAAGAACACCTTGTTGTGAAAAAAATGGATTGAAAAAAGGTCCATGGACTCCTGAAGAAGATCAGAAGCTCATTGATTATATTCAGAAGCATGGCTATGGAAATTGGAGAACACTTCCCAAGAATGCCGGTACGTCTTCTTCTTCCTTCTCTTATTCATTAGTTTTTTCACAAAAATCAATCACAGAACTAAAAATAACTCTATTCTATTCGATTATGTGATTATTGGTTTCTGTGAAAGTAGATGAAGTGTTGTTTTCATTACTAAATTCATGGTTTGCTTTTTATGGGTTTTGTGTGTTGAAAGTTTGTTGTTGATGCAAGAATAGGGCTCCAAAGGTGTGGAAAGAGTTGTCGGCTTCGTTGGACAAACTATCTAAGGCCTGATATCAAGAGAGGTCGATTCTCTTTTGAAGAGGAAGAAACAATAATCCAACTACATAGCATCTTGGGAAACAAGTAAGTTTCTTTTTGTTTTTTTGATTCAATCTACTATTTCATACACTTTTTTAATATTAAAAAAATATTCACTCTAGTTGGTTGAGTTTTCAAATTATTATTTGTTTTTTTAAAAAATTGAAACTAGTTTAACAATAATAAACACTGATTTTTTATTTTTTATTTTTTAACTTTTAAAAATTGTTTTCATCCCAAAAAGGAGAAAGAAATCTAATTTTGAAAATTCAACTAAACATGGTGTTATGTATTAAAAGAAAAACTTTTTAGAATTTGAAATTTCTGGCATAGATTTGAACTTCTTGTTGCATGATCAAATACGGAATGATATGGTTTATGGATTTCGAATTTTGAACATTTTTGTAGCATTGTTGTGTGAACATTAAGTTGTACTAGCTTTGATTTTGTTCATGTGCACTAATTTAATTTTGTACTGTCATTGTTTGACCATAGGTGGTCTGCCATTGCTGCTCAATTGCCGGGAAGGACCGACAATGAAATCAAAAATTACTGGAATACCCACATTAGGAAAAGGCTTCTCCGAATGGGAATTGATCCGGTGACTCACAGTCCTCGTCTTGATCTTCTTGAACTTTCTTCAATTCTAAGCTCATCTCTCTACAACTCCTCTCAAATGAATCTTTCAAGGTTGCTAGGTCTCCAACAGCCCCTTGTTAACCCGGAAATCCTAAGGCTAGCCACTTCTCTTTTATCGTCTCAGCAATGCGAAAACCCTAACCCTAATTTCCTTTTGCAAAATGTTCAAGAAAACCAAGTTTGCAATCCCAATCAAGTCCAAAATCAATTGGTTTTACCTAACCAAAATCAAACCCTACTTCAAGAAATTGAAGAAAATCATGAAATTCCAGTTTGTACCACATTGAGTACACCTTGTGTCCCATTTGCTAGTGATGCCCAACTCATGGAACCAAATGTGCACCAATTCTCATCAAATCTAACCGACTTTAGCTCCCAAAATTGTCAGTTAAATCATTGGCAAAGCCATGAAATGCCTTCTAACTTGACAGAAGACTATGGAGCTCTATCAAGCTACGGCTATTACGCGTCTGATCAAAGCATCATGGACCCTCATCCATCTGATCAAAACTCAAATTTCCAATCCTACAACAGCAATAACTTCAGCTTTGCATCTGGGTTATCAACTCTAACAACACCTTCATCGAGCCCGGCACCGTTGAATTCGAATTCCACATACATCAACAGCAGCAGTACTGTTACTGAAGATGAGAGGGAAAGCTATTGCAGCGGCATGTTGAAATTCGAAATCCCAGACATGCTTGATGTTAGTGAATACATGTAATTTGAAAATCAAACTGATCAATCAAATAGTTTTTGATTTTTCTTTTGCTTTTTTTTTTTTTTTTTTTTTTTTTTTTTTTTTTTTTTTTTAAATGAGATCCTATGGGGATTTCACTTTGTTGATGTTTCGTGTACAATTTCTTAATAATTTGTTGCAATTTTGTCAATGCTCTTTGTCTCCCAAATTGCACCATACTTTGTTCTTTGTTCATGTGAACTTTCCATTATTGATATATTATTATTATAATTTTTTCTCTTCATTTGGTAACTCATTGTATATTGAATTCAATTGATGTCAAATGGATAGACCATCAATAGTATTAAAACCATAGAACCTTCTTGTCTATCTATCATCCAAAATATTAAAAACACCATGAAATATAAAATATTAACAATGAAATCAAAATTTTTTTTGCATGGATAGACAAACATTAACAACTCTTCATGTCTATCACTCGAATATATTTACTTATCTAATAAAAAAAAACTAATAATATACTAACAAAATTTTTGTACTGAATTTTCATACGATATGATATTATTTTTTTGTGATCCTTTGATTTCTAATCAAAATACTGCCATTGTTCTCATAATTTTACAAATCTCATTGACACAATATTCTAAATGTGCATTTTGTATAAATTTTATTTTTGTAAATCATTTTTTATTATAAGAAAAAAAAAAAAAAACCCCCACATATGTTGTTTGCTTGGCAACAAGAAACAATTCTTTCAAGTAAGTTTATACTAATAAATTTACAAATAATCATCTAAAATCTAAGCTAACTAAGCTAAAACTATATTGAAATCAAAGTGGTTTCACAGATGCCAACAGTCAGACACCGGTGACGTCTGTGAATGCTGCCAAAGATGAGAGGCTGACACATGTTTCCGTCACCGGTAAGTGACTTTTTGCTTCCTAATAAAATAATAATGAAATTAAAAAGTCCGAAAACTCATAATAATTATTATTTAGATTTGTGTTTAAAATTATAATGTGTTGAAGATTGAATAAATAAATTATAAAATTTATCTATAAAATTAAATCTAAATCATACATTACTATTTTTAAATAATTTTTCACTGTAGTATATTTTATTATAATATTAACATATTAAGTATGGTGATAAGGAAGGCTTTTAACAAAGAGATGCACGTGTCAGGTTATCAGCGGTGGATAAGGTTGTGTGTGGGGACCACTTTAAAAGTCTTTGCTTTATTGAAAACCATGGCATGGTTCTTGTGGTAATTTTATTGTCTTTTTCAATCACCACCCGCTTACCTGCAATTAATTTTTTTTTTGGCCGTGTCAAACACAGCCTTAAATGGGGTTACGTCAGCATGTTAGACACTTGGATCAATTATGCATAGACAAGTGGGTCCCACTTGGTGACCGGTTGACCCGGTGGCAACCAGGATCTCTTATCCATTGATTAAGGTTTTTTTGTCACCTATTAATGCACTAATAGAAGAAAGTTTTTGTTCTTAATGATTAATGTAATCATTAAGAAATGAATATGTTGAGTAACCTAAATAATTCAGTGCCGTCTCGACAACTTAAAAAAAAAAAATTGCGTTTTGCAATTCTCCCCAAAAAAAAAGCCAAAATGACTTTTTACTTTAAAAACCATTTCGGGAGGTGAAAAAAAAAATTACTAATAAAATTACAACTATACTTTTCACAGATCAAAATGAGCTACATATAGGTAAAATTGTAAATTTTTTAAATTAAGCGGGGATAGTTTAGTCATTTTATTATGATGTAATAAACAAATATTAACAAAAAAAGTCAAAAATAACTTTTTACTAATTTTTCAAATCACTTTCTAAAAAAATTAAAAAACTTGATTAAAAGTAAAAAATTAACTTTTAATTATCTTTTTAAAATATCCCTCAGTCACAAAGTAAGATGCATAATCGAAAGAGATTCACATGACGAAATGTCCTTTTGATTATAACGAGAGATTTGTAAAATTACGATGTGCTGTGTTTAAGTTATATTTTAATTTTAATGGTTTGATGAAATATTTAACAAGTCACAACTGGAAATTACTTTCTTCCTTAGCAAGCTCGGGATTAACAATAATGGTCGGACCACTCACTCTTGTTCAATAGTGATTTCTTTATTCTTTAAACAGCAACCTAAAATGATCCGATGTGTTTGAATATTGTAACTTTAAGCACATTTGTACATTTTTAAAGAGCATACACTATGAACAATACTAGTAATTCTTACACTCACTATGAATTCATAGATGTCACTCTCCCTCATAGATGTGAATATTTATTCTTGAATCTTTTTTTGAAATTTTTATTCAATGTTTATTATATACATATTGTCAAAGTCTAATATAATATACATATTGTCAAAGTCTAATATAATTCACATATTTATAATTTTTCTGTTTTAATGTTAGGAAAATAACAATTTCTAATCAGGATCATTGAGATACAAAATAACAAACAATAAAAATTAAACGAATTGAAACGATCACACACACAAGAAATACAAAGATTTACGTGGATTACCCCATAATAGGATTATGTCAATGATTGTTGAGATTTTCACTATAATAAGAAAATGGTTATAACTCTTCTAACAATACAAGAGGTATCCCCTTCATCTATTTATAAGTATAAATTTTAGGACAGCACAAGACTCAATATATAGTACTTATCAGGGTCCACAATACTCAATAATTCTTTCCATGCAATTTGTATATAGTTCCATTAGTCTCAAAGACACCCATTGTCATTTTGGTTTAGGAGAACTTACGTGTAGGTCCTAATAGGTATATTTATTGTCCAATAAGTCCTATACTAATTAATAACATTTTTCATTAAACACTATTAAAAAATGTCACTAATTGTTAATTTTCAGTAACAATTTGAAAATTTGGTCACAAAAAATGTAATTAATTATAAGTTTTTCAAAAAATGTAATTAGTTATAACTTTCAGCAGTAATTAGAAAAATTCGTCATAGAAAAATGTTACTAGTTGTAAGTTTTAGAGACAATTTATAAAAACCGTGACAAAAAAAATCACTAATTGTTAATTTTTAGCGACATGCAAAAAATCGTCACAAAAAATTATTTTTAGCAATGATTTTATAAGGACTTACTTTTAATAGGTTTTATTCTCAATAGGAGTTGATGAGAATTAAATTCAACTATTAAGACTTATTTGTAATTTAACATTTGGTTTATGCATGCTTGAGCAATGATCTGTTGTGAGATAAGATTTTGGATCAAAGTGACAAATAACACTCAAACGGGAGCGAAATGAAATTATTTCAAGAAACCATTGCAACATAAAAGCATATAATTATTATATAAAATAGAAAAATTATACAGAACAACTATGTGTTATGATCCCTTTATTTTAAAACACAAAACTCATTATTGTAATCATAACTTATAAATATATTATTGTCATGTCATTCAAAAAAATAAATTTCATATAAAGATTCTGGTAATATCACATTTTTCTTACTATAAATATCATACATGAGAGGTAACTCAATTATTAGGTCGCTTAATCCATCGCCTATGACTTTCAAAAAAAAATCTCAAAGAATCCTTATCTTTAAAAGCCCCAATTTTTTAGAAAGTCAAAAAAAATCTCAAAAAATGTGGATTACTTAATAAATTAGAAAAGTTTTCTCTTTGGTGTTGATTTTCCGAATTCACTTTTCAAAAAATTTTACTTCTTTATTTTTCATATTTTTTTCTGTTTTCATTGAATTTCTTTAATATTTTAAGAATTTTTTTTTTAATTTTTAGACACAACTAACATAAATACACTTAAAACATATAATATTTGTGAAAAAATCTTTAAAAATTCACCAAATACCAAAAATACAAAAAAAAAAGAGAAGAAAATTCAGTATATTTTTCATATTTTTGTGTATTTATTAATTGTTTAAAATATTTTTTCACAAATATTTTACTTTTTAGATACATCTCAGTAAGGTGTATCTAAAAAAGTAAAAAAAAAAAAAACTTAAAATTTTAAAAATATTCACTAAAAACAAATAAATAAATAAAATAAAAAACTTAATTTTCAAAAAATTAAATTTAAAAAATGAAAACCAAACATACTTGGACAAAATAGAAATATTACTGTTGTTTTCTCTCCGACAAAACAACAAACAATTAAGAAAAGAAATATGAAGAAACGATAACACAAATGATTGAAATTATACCTACCAATAATTGTCAACCAAGATATGGGCTACAGTGATTGCACTCTAAGATCAAAAAAATAATATTAAAAAAAATGCATAACCTAAACATTTTTCATATTTCTACTGACTATTCAAATGTTGACATCTCAATTTGTTGACTAAAATCACCAAAATGAGAGGCCCTAATCTGCTATGATTCATGAAACTGTGACCTCGAATTCACACATGAAATGTGTACCCCATATAATCAACTCTACCATCTACCCACTATAAAAGGAGTGAACGTAAAACGTGTATTCTACAATTTTTTATTTTAAAATTATCCATCATTCAATAGTATATTTACATATGAATTACAATTTAAAGTGAACCATTATGCTCATTACAAAAGATTTCTCACGTCTAAAATTTGTTTCAAATTCAAACACTAATACTGTATTTGGTTAGGGGATTTGGGGAGGGATTTGAAAACAGAAAAGGAAAGGGTATGTGAAACTAGGTGAAATGTATGTATATTTTATTCATATTTTACCTAACTTTTCCCTTTCCTTTTCAAATCACTCTTCAAATTTTCCAACCAAACACAGCGTAATAGTCACAACTCTTAGAGTTGAGTTGTGACTGTTTGGCCAAAGGGTGCCTAGCTAGCATCTATAAATAGTTCGAGCCATATAACAGAGTTCTTTATTAATTTCTTCTCCTTAGCCATTTGAAACACTCTAAACAATTTCTTTGAAACTATTCTTTCTCATCCCCTACTATCTATGTTTTTGAATTTTTCTTTGTTGGCTTTTCTTGCAATTCAGGTTTAGATTTTTTTTTATTTTTTTTTATTACAATTGATGGCATATGAAAATTTCTAAATTCCCAATTTTTAGAGTCTAATAC